GAGTACAAAGCAGTGGAAATCATCAATAGGCAATCGTTCGATGAGCTGAATGACACAAAACGCACAATCGCACCGGCTAATCTGGTGTGCATTGCTATTTATTTTTTTTTTTGGTATCGTAATGTTCTTTGCAGGTTATGTTACCACATTCGTCTTACTGACGAGTTCCAATTGTGGTAAGGGTTAGAAGTGTATACAGCTTAATGGACCGAAACATTTCTTACCCTTTACACGTATTCTTAAATTACCCCTCTCTTCGCTTTCTTTTTTTTTTGATATTTTCTTTTTAACCCTAAACGGATGGTGGGTTTTTGTCTTGGTTACCTCTTCTCATTGTTGGTACTCTACATGCAGATTACTCGGCCTCTGCTGCGAATATTTCCATACATACACACAGGGCTGACTGACTATGAGTGTTATTGGCATTAGGATAAGATGAATACGAACCTTCCAAATAAACTACTACGTGCTTGCTCGTTTAATTTGCCCGGCGCAACTGTATGTTTTTTCATTATTGTTCAGGATAAGAACATTTATACGACAGTGATCGATCATTTGCGCATGCAAAATTTGTTACCAGTTATTGTGTTTGTTTTTTCAAGACGCAGGTTAGATTTTTTGCATTCCCATACCTTTTTTGCACTTTTTGTTTTAAATGAAAGCAACTGAAAAAATAGATGGAGAACCAGATTATGAATTAAACGATGCCCGAAGTAAAAAATGAATGAAACGCTTGAAAGCGGGACTGTTTATGTACACATATGTGTTTGTGTGGGTGTGTGTGTGTTTGTGTGGGTGTGTGTTTGTGTGGGTGTGTGTTTGTGTGGGTGTGTGTTTGTGTGGGTGTGTGTTTGTGTGGGTGTGTGTTTGTGTGGATGCGTGTTTGTGTGGGTGTGTTTGTGTGGGTGTGTGTTTGTGCCTGTGTTTGTTTGTGTGGGTGTGTGTTTGTGTAGGTGTGTGTTTGTGTAGGTGTGTGTTTGTGTAGGTGTGTGTTTGTGTGGGTGTGTGTTTGTGTGGGTGTGTGCTTGCTACGACGTGACCAGTTTTTTTCGGTTCATTAAGTTAGTAATTCTTGCAGATGTGACGAAAATGCCTTCTTGCTGCAGTCTGTTGATTTGACAACAGCAAAAGAGAAATCAAGTATTCATCATTTTTTCTCAAGATGTATATCACGCCTAAAAGGGTCTGACAAACGTCTTCCACAGGTAATCGAATCTTGTGCCTGATAAAATATCTGGAAAAACTCTAAATTTATAGTCTAAATTTTTTTCTGTGCACCGGGTAACTCTTCCATTTTGCTTATCCTGTTTCTTCAGTACTTGTGGCATTCTGGCCAATCCAGCATGTCGCTGGTGCTCCTGCTGTTTTTTTTTTTTTTAAATAAGTAGTAAGGCAAATTTGCTAATAGCATCAGTAAAACTCATAAAAGAATGGGCCCACTTAGTGGTTGTATTATTTCGTTGAATATTATTTCCAGGTATTGCAAATGGTCGAGCTGTGTAAGCGTGGATTTGCAATTCATCACAGTGGTATTTTGCCAATTCTAAAAGAAGTTGTTGAACTGCTTTTCCAGAGAGGGCTTGTTAAGGTATTTCTTTTGATGGCTGGGATTGATGTTTTTTTTGTGCAAAATATCTTTTCTGAAACTTTCGTCCTTTTGCTGTCAGCTCATTTTTTCTTGTTCTTGTTCCCCGCCTTATAGCCGTTTTTCCCTCTTCCGACCGTCGCTCCCCTCTTTCTTCTTTCTCGCCGCTTTCCCTTTTGAGTTCGCTTCTGGTATTATTTGGGTATTTGTGTTTGCAACTGTGTTTTTTTCCCAGATTTTCAGGTCTTTTTCACGTTCCCATGTTTTACTAGCATGTATTATTTCAACCGCAGAAAGCAATGTCTTAGGCCGGGAGGGGGGGGGGGGGGGGGGG